CTTCCAAAGCACCGTCACCACCCCGCTCCCAATATCGGAACCATCTGCACTGTGTTTCACTTCTCTGTGATCCTTGGCCCCACCCCGCCGCCCCCTGCCCCTGCCACCAGACTGTGGCCCTCTTGGAAACAGGGACAACATATTGTCTGGCTCGATCCAAGATTATTTGGTGATTTGCTAAATTAAGAAAAAGCATACAGTGCACATAAGGTCACAGAATAGGTTTTTCCTCCAATAAACCTCAAAAAAATACATGAAGAGAACAGACATTCAAAGATACGCTGCATAAATGTGGGAGGCCCTTCGTGTTGCGCACTGCATTTGTTTGCTAGGGCTCTGTACACAAGACCACACGCTAGAGGGCCTGAACATCAGAAATTTATTTTGTCCTCATTCTGGCCACTGAAGTCCAAGATGCAGGTGTCCTCAGGTTTGGTTTCTTCCCAGGCCTCTGCCCTTGGCTTGTAGATGGCTGGTCTTTCCTCTGTGTAGCTGCATCCCTGGTGTCTCTCTGTCTCTCATAAGGACACCAGTCATATTGGAGTAGATGGCTGCCCACATGATCTTTCTTCTGTGTAGCTGCCTCCCTGGTATATCTCTGTCTCTCATAAGGACACCAGTCATATTGGAGCCCTGTGACTTCATTTAACTTTAATTACCCCTTCGAAGGCTCTCTCTCCAATTGTAGTCACATTGTGAGGTGTACCGGGGGTTAGGATTGCAACATATGAAATTAGGGAGGGGCACAGTTCAGTCCCTAACACCCCAGATATTGAGAAGCAAAATAGCCAAGATTAAAGCCTAATGGAACACAAGGGGTTAAATTGATCTGGTCCATTAAGTGGAGAGGCATGTGTTTGTGTTTTGGAAATTTATGAGCAGATTGAGACCTGGAAGATATTGTGAAACTAAATGCTATTTTTATTATTAAAGTAGGATTTATTGAAGGAGGAAAATATTGAGGGCAGAGGTTGCATGAAATAAAGCCTTAATCTTCCCGGAATGGATGAGCGAGTCCCCCAGGAACAGAATGTGTGGGTGTCAAGGCCAAGTGAAGTAGTGAGGATTAAGAGTGGGAGCCTGGGAGTGGGGGAGGCGGGGGGGCCTGCCCTGTGTGGGAGGAGGAAGATCCCAGGGGCTGCCAAGTCAGGACCTCACTGAGAGAAAGACTGAGTAGATAGATGCTTGCTTTCTCCAGGCTCAGTGAAGAAAAGACTCATTATCTGTCATCTGGGCCTGGGGGTTTCACAATTGAAAAATGCTTTGCTTATAGGTCTCTTAATCACAACCTGCACATTTCAAGAGTATCTTCCCCTTGGGACTCAGTGTAAATAGGGGAGGTGGTTCTTAGCCAGCACACATCTGTAAGCAGCCCAGCTCTGGGGCACATTAAGACCACGTTTCTCTCCTGGCCGTGTCACCTGGTTCTTTTGCTCTTTCACTGCCTAGTTATGTGACAGCCTTTGTGAACTTCAAGGCATATTTGCTGGAACACTGCTTTTTTGATTATCTTAGCATCACTGCTAATAGTTCTCAGACTACTCTGTTTGAAATTAACAGTGCAGCCCTATACTATTTGGCCTCAAAGGGGAGGGAAACGTTTTCTATGACCCTCTTAGAGTCCCTAGCTGAGTCTGAAAATTAAACTGACAGAGACAGATTCACGGGAGAAAAGCATATACATCTTACTGAATTTTTACATGTACATAAGAGTCTTCACAAGAGAACGAAGACCTGGAGAAGTGAACACGGCCAGAAGCTTTTATACCTTTTAGACAAATAATAAATTTGTGGAGAATTGACCAGACAAGGGGGTTTGAGCTAGGGGTCGTAGAGGGTGAAAAAGTAATTAGGAAGATAAGGCTGAGTTTAACGAGGTTATGTTTACAGAATTCTTTGGTGATATCTCTGGGCTCGTTCAAGTTTGTCTTCAATGAAAAGAGAATTTATTTCTTGCCTTCAGACAGAAAAGGGGTAACTTTTTCTGCTTTTACTGCTTCTTAATTGCCTTCAGCTCAAAATAATTTTTAGGTCAAAGAGGCATATTTTGAGGTGGCATATTTTAGTTTCCTTCAGCCTTTTCATTGTATTTTCTCACATCTAGCTTCTAGAGTAATAGATTGTCATCATTAGCACAAGGACTATCTTTTAGTGATCGTGCGGATGGTATTGTCACAAGGCATAAAACATTTCAAGTTAAAATTGGCAGTAATTTTTTAAATAAGAGGACAATATCTACCAAAGTGAAATGAGAAAGTTCAAGTGTAAATAAGGAACGGTGGGGTTTGCCTGGTACTAACGAAGTGTGCGCGGTATGCTGGCAAGGTGATGCCGCAGTACAGAACGCCATTGTGGAGTCAGAGCTCACGGTTTCCTCGATCCAGCAACCTCAAAATCATGTTTCTTGACAGTTATTCTTTAACTTGAAAAGATTCACGTTACTTAAAATTTTACAAATAAACAAATTTTGCTGGGATTATTACATCATACTTTCACACTCGCATATTTGAAGTTCACATACACTGTGACAGCAGTCCACTGTAACAGGTAAGGTGGGTCAGAGGCTGCGCAAACCCAACTTCCATGCAAAGGCAGTTCGTTCTAAATATCAAAGTTTGGACTGAGAAGAATAGAGGATTTTCAAACTATCTCTCCACCTTCTCCCTTAATCTTTGGTAGGCAGTTTACCTTTCCAAATCTGCATCCCCCACAGCTGAGCCTCTCTCCCAGTAGCTACATTAATTCATTTGATTTGTTGATCTATTCTTATGGTTCTACTTCTTTTCCCCAATCCCTGGACCCCTGACCCTTCTAACTGCATTCTGATGCTTTGCGGTTTTTAACTGGGAAATTCCATGCACATTGGAAGCTTACCACGGGAGGATACTGACTCAAGACAGCAACCTGTCTGTCAGATCAGCAGCCAACCAACCAACCTGACCATGGTCTGCAGGCCTCAAAATGTGGCACGCCCCTCGCCATAATTCTAAGCCTCTTTCCTCATTAGTGCCGCTAGGATTCTGGTTGTTCACAAGTGGTTTTGAAAATGAGTGGGTGTCGTAGTTAGCTTGAACTGCCGTAACAAAATGCCAGACACTGGGTGCCTTAAACAATGGAGATGTATTTCTCACATTTCTGGAGTCCAGGAAGCCCACGATCAAGGCGCCGGACAGATTGGGTTCCTGTCAAGGGCTCTCTTCCTGGCTTGAAAACAGCCACCTGTTCTCACTGAGTCCTCACATAGTAGAGAGAGTGCCAGTCTCTCTTCCTCTTCAAGTAAGGGCACTAATCCCATCATAGGCCCCACCCTCCTGACCTCACCTAACCCTGATCACCTCCCAAAGGCGCCGCCTCCCAGTACCACCACATTAAGAGTCAGGGCTTCAGTTTATGAGTTGAGTGGAGGTGGGGTTTGTAGGGAGTGGGGAGTGGGTCATAAACATTCAGGTCTTTGAAATGTATGCTTAGGGAGATTTTTGAAACGAATGAAGTGATTTGCAGATTCAAGGTATTTTTATTGGTTCTGTTACATATTTTTATTGGCAAGTTTTTTAAAATGTTCCCTTTGCCTTGGTTTCTAAGGAAACCAAATTCTTTCCAGGTACTGTTCAGGGGGTGGCGGGGAAAGCCTTGGTGTGATTTGAAATTTAAGAAGGGAAATGTTAAATGTGCAGAGAATTTGGACTCTGCGGCAGTACACACTGCAGCAGCAGCTTACACTTCAACTCTGGTGCTTTGATTCTTACCGCGTTGCTGCCCTACTGCAGTGCAAATAATAGCATTCAGTAGAATCTATTAATACCTGATATATTACATAACAGAAAAGAGGACTTTGAGAAGATGGGAAGCAGGAAGGATTCGTTTTGAAGGAAGGAGAGGATCTGACAAAGAGGGGGATGTGCATTACTAGGGACGGGATGTGGGGAGGGAGGGGCGAGCATTCTTGCCTGAGGTCCTCCAGCAGCCTGCAGAAAGAGGGTATGAACCAGCAGGCCACCTGGTGGTGAGAAAGGACTGGAAGACTAGTAAGGCGTGCCACTATTGGAAGGTAGGCCAGTGGTAGAGAATGAGGAGGGGCACAGTCAAAGCAAACTCTCCCCCTTCGCGGCTAATGCTGCCTGACTGACCCAGCCGAGCGCGGTGGCTGGCACATCATGGGCACCCAGCGAACACTGAATGAGTGGTTGAATGAAATGATCAAGTCGAGGGAATACACCCAGGTCACCCTGCCCCTGTCAGCAGCACATCTCCTGTCCTGAGTCCTCAAGCTCTGCAAAGTTTCAGACATTGAGACTCATTGGAAGAAGGTTCTAGAAAAATGAAGACTGGCGAGAAGTTGCTGAGAGGGGAAGTTTGGGGATTTTGATTTACCTAAGGAAGGATCATTTAGATATCAAAGTGGTCTCTCCTCCGCTGTTTCCATTTCTTTTCACTCCCTGAATTGCTTTTTATTTCTCCTGAGCATCTTTTCTTTCTTATCTAGATTGTTCAGTTTGCTTTAGAAAGGAGACATTATCCAAGCACAATATCACTTGGAATGGCTATAGGTAACTCAGAGCCCTTTTATAGCTGTAATTGTGTTTTCTTTATTGAATTTTTTAAAAGAAGGTGTCATCGGTCAGTTATTGCACATTAATTGCCGTGACTTGCAAAAAATGAATCACAGCCTTTGTGAATGTGTGTGTGTGGGACTGCGGGGGCATGCCATTTATTCTCTCTGTTTAAAACTGTAAAAGTTGTTTCTGAAATTGTTTTATGCTTTTAATATTTTATATAAATCTCTTTTTCATTTTGTTTTCTTGAAAATCTGAAAAAAAATAGTGTTCATATATCCCTTGAAGCTGATTTCCAAGATGGCTTAATTGTTTGAAAGAAGCACTGTTTTCTTAGAGAAGTATATATCCTAAGAATTGGAAGGCTGAGGTGTTAGTTGAGTTGTTTCTATTCAGAATTTTACCATCTGTTACTTTGTTAAACTCAGAGTTGCATCAGATATCAAAATGAAAGGGGCCATAGCTTCCTTTCCAACTTGGGCTCCTGCAGAGAAAGGTGGCGAGGAGAAAGGCCATTCTGCCATCGACGAGGTAGTGACCAGAGAGCACACCAGCACCATGCACAAGCGCATCTGTGGAGTGGGTTTCAAGAAGCGTGTCCCTCGGGCCCTCAAAGAGATCTGGAAATTTGCCATGAAGGAGATGGCCATTCCAGATGTGCACACTGACACCAGGTTTATCAAAGCTGTCTGGGCCAGAGAATGAGGGCTGTCCCAGACCGTTTCTGGTGTGGTTGTCCACACGAAGTGAAGAGGATGAAGATTCACCAAACAAGCTCTATCCATTCGTTACTGATGTCCCTGCCTCCACCTTCAAAAATCTACAGTTAGTGTGGATAACTAACTGCGGATTGTCGAATAAAGTTATAAAACTTAATAATAATAATAATAAAAGGGTCCATAGAGATCGTTCACCAGGGCTTTCTGACCTTTGCCAAAGAGGCCTTTCTTTACTTTGGCTCTTTTTTGATAAATACGAAAAAATATTTAATGCAATCTGAAATTCAAAGCAAATTAAAATTAAATATTGTCTCACACACACACACACACACACACACACATATTAAAATTAAATATTGTCTCACACACACAGACACAAAACAAAATAAAGCAATGTAGCAAAGTGTCATTTTTCTTTCTTTTTTTGTAAGTCACATGTGGCTTTCAGGTTCTGATGCCTCCGAGGATGTCCCCCTACCCTCTGTTGGAAATGGTTGATTCGATTAACCCCGTTGTTTTACAGATGAAAAGACTGAGGTTCAAAGACTCGAGGAATGCTTATGCTCTCAGTCAAACCCCCAGACGTCCTGTGGGCTGCCCTGCACTTTGCCCACAGCACCCCGACCCTGGGCTCTTTAAAGGCACCCTCTGTGCAAAGGAGAACTCTTGTCCAGCGGCATCTCCCTATTTCTGATGATGCTGAAATTCTGGAAGGTTATTCTGACTTTACGTTGTCACCTTAGCATGGACACAGAAGCCAGGAGAGGCTTGTCAAGCCTGGCCAGTCCTGGGTCCTGGCTTATTTTCCTTTATTTCATCCTGGAAATTTGAACCACCATGACACAGAAGCACTTCCCTGGTGTCACCTTCTGGGGAATAGATGGGACAAAATCTAACTCTGATAGTGGATTAATTTTTTAAATAAAAGTTGGTTCTTTTATCACATTGAAAGCTCTTATTGATGTTTTTTTCTGAATGATTCAGTAGATCCTCTCAAACTTCTAATTTGTTCCCTTTTTTTTTTTTAAACAGTGTATCCGGTGGAGAACTGTTTGATCGGATAGTGGAGAAAGGATTTTACACAGAGAAAGATGCCAGCACTCTGATCCGCCAGGTCTTGGATGCTGTTTACTATCTTCACAGAATGGGCATCGTCCACAGGGACCTCAAGGTAAGGCCATCGCTTAGCAACAACCTTCCAGCTACTCTCCAACCCACAATGTACTTGTCTGAGAGGAATGGCTCCAGAGGAGGGATGGGGTTGTTTTGGTGTAGATAAAGGTGTAGTGAAGGGTGGGTGTTTGTGTACTGTTAGTCATCATCGGGGCCTTTGGGACCCAAAAGTTTCTTGAAAGAAGATGAAAATCAATGGAGCTGGCCATTGTCTGGGAGATTTTATAACCCTTTGATAACGAAAGGGCCACCAGGAGGTAGGTTATGTATTGATGCAAGCCTATCTGAAAGGTGATTTTGTTCAAGATGTATAAGCCACAAAAACCTTTCTCCCAGTGCAGCTCTTCAGTCTCCTCCCAGTTCCAGCCCTGTTTCAGCACAATGCACCGTGTGAAAGAAAAGGAGCAAGTGGGTAGAGGGCATGAGATGAGAGAGAAGAGACGTGGAAGCTTATTAGGAAAAATGGGTTTAATGAGCTGCAACTACAGCCTTCTGCAGTGTCCAGGAGCTTCCTTTCTCATCTTTTTCTTATGAGATTTTGGCATCCTGACCCTTCACCTAATAGCGTTGAAGGACCTGAGCTGTATTTGGGCCTCTTGGCAATACATTTCTCCCCGGGTCTGTGTAGCTATCTGAGGGTAGATATTGCACGTATCAATTTGAGGAACAGGACAACCAGCGTTGTTGACCCAAGGCTGTAATGTGACTTCATTCTACAATAGTTACAGGTCCAGTCCCTAGAGCTCGCTGCACCAGTCAAGGTAGAAATTTCTCATTCCAGCACGAATACCCTCCACTCATGTCATAAACACAGAAATTATATTCTACTGAAGCTATACTACACATGACTATGGGAAATCTAATCAATTTAAAGAGTAAATCCTAAAATATTAGTAAAAATTGAATTTTAGCATCTTCCCATTATCTGGTACTGGGACTCAAGGTGTTAAATGGTATAGCTTTTCCTTTCATAAAGACTCACTGTAAAGTTTTCTCTTTATCTGTCCATGTTACCATTTTCCATTGACTAATGGAGTGGCTCCCAAATATTAGCCTGCATCAGAATTGTCTGGAGGGCTTCTAAAAACACAGATTGTTGGTCCTACCCCAGAGGTTCTGATTCTCTAGGTCCACAGTGGGGCCCAAGAACTTGCATTTCTAAGGGTTTTACAGGTGATGCTGATGTTGGCCTGGGAACCACTCTTGGAGAACTGCTGGATGAGGGCGTTTGGGAATGTCGATGAAGTCCTTACCCTCTGCCCTCTGCAGGCTTCTTGACAGGTGAAGTGGGCTGCGGGCACAACTAGCTAATCTTCAGGTCCTGGAGGTCCTTCTGAGGGCCAGGGAAGGGTTAGGAAAGCCTTCTGTATCAGGCAGCGCTGCCTGCTCTGCTCTCTTGTGCCCTCACCAAATGCCAGTTCTGTGCTTCCAGAACACAGCAGGCAGCTCTCTGTGAACGAGTTAGTGTGACAGGCACAGAGATGCGACATGATGAACTGGCTGTGCTCACTAGAAGTAATTTCTAAGCAGACAGGCCATTTCCTGGAGGGGCAGTGTTTCTCTCCCCCATAGAAAGGCAGATGGGCTGTAAGGGTGACACTTCTCCCCACCCCGACGGGTGCTTTTGGAGAAATGCAGCCCCCAGCCCATGGGGCTTTAAGATCTCTCACGGGGCTTGCAGTTGTGGAAGGAACGTGACCATTTTAGGGCCTTTATGTGATCTCTTCGCAGAGGCACAGAGGAGTTTGATCTGTGTGGAGGAAGTCGATATTAAATTTTCATAAACAGCTAAGAAATTAAAACAAACTGTATGATCTAGGCCAGAGCAATAGAGAATATGATTGAGTTAATTCAGAATTAGGGCACATCTGGGGATGGGAATGTTCTCCCTTCTTCCTCCAGAAATGTATTCTTGTGCCTGGAAGCTACTGGAGCCCATCAGTTGTTCTTTTTTCAAAGCAAAGATTGAGACATAAAATGCCCAGTACTGCCTCGGATTAGGGCAGGGGCCCAGCCCCATGCGAGCGACATTGAGAGCTGGGGTCTGACTTGTGGCAGGGGCTGTGCTGTGCGTTGTGGGATGTTTAGCAGCACCCCTGGCCTCCACACACTAGCTGCCAGGACGGCTCCTAGAGCTGTGCTCACCAAAAATGACTCTAGCCATTGCCAACTGTCCTCTGGGGAGCGTAACTGCCCCCAGTTGAAAATCACCCGATTAGGACGATTATGTATAACATTAACTTTAGGGAAAATGTTACTTTAGATCTTTTAAAAGCTTGCTATGTGAATATTAAAGGGTTAAGATTGACATTTCAATTCAGGTATTGGCCACCAGTTGTTTTGCAGAGATGTTATAAAGTACAGAAAGCTAATTTGCAGGTGTTTCCTGGGCCTCCTAGGACCCCAAGCAGAATTGTAAGCTCTTTCCACCCCCATCCCCCACTCCCACAGACCTCCTGACAACTGGGGCCTCCATCCAGATGATCCCTGATCCTGTCCTCTCCCCCTTTCTTCCCTGCCCCTGCCCCTACCCCCAACAAAAAGCCCTGCTTTCTTTACCAGTCTTGAGCCAATTAAAAGTATTGATCTGAACTGTGAATGACGCCCGCTGAGCCCTCCTTAGGGATAATTGTTCTTCAAAAGAGTGCTTCACTGACCCCAGCCAGCCTCCTGTCCGAGGGATGTGTAAGAAGGGATTAAGGGCTCTCTGCAATCTCTTGCCTGGAGGCAGCCTTGTTCAGAATCAGGGGATCACTGACTTTACGGCTGCAGAAGTGCTGGGACAAGGAAGATTAAAAATCAGACACTTAAAAAAAAAGAAAAAGAAAGGCCCCTCTCTACACCCACATGGCTCCTTACTGTTCATCAAAGGGTAACCCCTAACCATTCAGAGAACAGACAAACCACATGCACTTTTTGATTAGGTCATTCCCCCACTTTCTAAGTATTATCATTTCTATCGATTGGCCCATTTTATCCTCCTTTAGAACTCATTGAAAGCATCTTCGAGCATGCATTGATTTTCTTCTGACCTCGTGCTTCATCCATAGAATTTGAGTCACGGTGACTATTAAATGCCATTCCTCTTTGTGTTATTATTTGTGGTGAAGAATAGTGTTTTGTTTTGTTTCTTTCCTTTGGGTTCTACTGAAGAAAAAAATAATTCTGACCCTTGTTAAAACTGCAAGAAAGACTTTATTCAGGACTGCTGCAGTAGGGGAGAGCATTGAGTCCAACTCCGAATTCAGCAAGGCCGCGTGGGGATTTACAACCATTGAGCGTAGTGGGGGTCATGGGTGGAAAGTTACTAAGGGGAGACATTAAGGGAATGGGGAGTCTTGCTAAAGGCAGGCCAAGGACTTAGACATTGACAGAAAAAGGAGATTTTGACCAACGTGAGCCCCCCTGAGCTTTCTTTCTGACTAGGCCCTGATCTTGAGCTTGTCCTGAGTCCAGTGACCCTGCCCACTTACTTCAGTGCTAGCGAGAGTCCTGCTGAGTCCTACTGAGTTCGTTTAGCAGAAGTCCTGACCCTGGATATCTAATCAAGTTCCTTGTCCCCCACCCTCTATATCCAATCACCCTGGTCTGCAGCAAAGCTCTTGTAAAGTCAGTGTATACAGAAGCCCCCTTACCCTGGACATCCCCTCTTACTCATTTTCCATCCACCGACCCCCACCCTGCTTCTTAGCTCTAAATCTCTACTTGTCCTTATGTGTTCAGAACTGAGTCCAGTCTCTCCCTGCAACTGCAAACCCCACTGCATCATGCCCCTCAAATCCAGTCTTCCTTACCGCCTTTAACGAGTATCCGAATAATACTTTTTAAGAATATCAAAGGCGGGGGGTGAAGAACTTGACCAGCTATCAAGAGTGAAGGATTCTCCCTAAACTGATTTATCAGGATTCTTGCAAAGACTGGGCTGTGCAGGCCCAGTGAGGACAGGAGGGATGCAGAAAGCCAGGGTCGAGGCCTAGTGGAGAAGAGGGCTCCTCTGACTAAGGCTGGGTCAAGGACGGAGTCTTGGTCGTTCTCAAAATGGTTCCACAGCACTGGGTGCACCTCAGAATCCCTAAGCTCCAGAGGCCTGGATGCAGCCCCACATCTCCCGGAGAACAGCATATCGAGATGTCTGGTACCCTCACGGCGGATTCTGCTGCACAGCTAGGCCAAGGACCTCTTTTCTAAACAAGTCTATACTCTGTGTAAGAATAGTTCCTAAAATTTAATAATTAGGAACCGAAGATTCACCACAAACCACTGACGAGGGAGAATATTGCTTCACTGTTGAGATTGGGAAGAGAGCCAAGCAGGAAATGGTGTGGGCAAATGAGTTCCCTGGTTCCGACTCTTCCTGCTGCATTTCCTTTGCGGTTTGGTATAAATGAGAGACATGAGTACTCTTCACTTGGTAAATCTTCAGTATTTTCCCGGTGCGGGGTGAAACTGGTTGACAGCAGAGGTGTCAGTCTTTGGCGTTATCTCCCTCAGTGACAGCATCATTAATTGAACAACTCTTCAAAAACAGACAAAAAACTTGAGTACCTCTATTCAGATTCTTAACCGGCGGAGCAGAGTCAGCTCTGAGGCCATGAAGCCTCCCGCGGTCTCTGTAAGCCTCGCCCCCATTCTTTGCTAGGAACAGTGAGATTCCCCAGTTTTATGTAAAACACTGTAAAAATGAAGCTTCACTGTCCCCCCCTCGGCCCCCAGCCCCTCCCGTACTGGGCGCTGATGTGCACAGCTCCCCTGGAGCCAGAACTGCGCTCAGATGGTCAGAAGTTGGCCAGGCAAGGAACATCCTGCTGCCTGAGCTCTGCCGGGTTCTGTTCAGGGAAGCAAATGAGGAGCCATCCCAGTTCACGTTTCACAGCAAGGCGAACAGAAGCTCAGGGTGCTTAGGGACACTTGGCTAGAAAGTGCTAGATCTTCCAGCACAGATTCATTCCCTGATGACATCCCTCTGCTTCCCAGGGAGCAGAGTGAGCAGGTGTCAGCTGGCTCAGGAAAGGGGAGATCGCGTCCTCCCCCAACCCCCATCTGCCAGACCTACTGATCGGGATGTTACCGAGCGCGTGGAGGGGGACCCTTGGATCAGAGAAAGATTGCTAAAAAGGACCTGATAAAAGCAACAAAGGAGCTCCTGCAAAAGTAATTTTACTTCTCGGGATCCCCTTTCCCCTAACCCAGGAAATGAATGGACAGGTCTGAGAGGCATCAGCTTTCTAGTGCTAACCTGAAAATAAAAGGCCTCTCAAAGTAAGAGGCAACTAGCGTTTGAGACCAGCAAGAATAGCTAGCTATTCGGGTAGCATTCATTCAGGCAGAAGCCCAAATAATGTTCTGATTAGAAGACAAAGCAGTGGGTATTGATGAGAAAGGGAAGGAGGACAAGTACATCCGTAGAAGGAAGACCTTTCTACCAGTACAGGTAACGTAACATAGTGGTGCTAATTCTATAAATGTTAATTTTCAGTCCAGTAGTCATAATAACTGCTTTCTTGTTATCTTTGCAAACGGTTCTTTGGGAGACAGTTGGCCCCATCCAAAGATTATTTTGCCCTATTCGTCACCTTCCAAGGGTTGAGGCATAAAACGTACAAGGCAGTTCCTCTGGCATGGCAATTCCAGCTCTGGTTGAAAATGGCTCCTTTTATTCTAATGTTTACACTAGATTGCCTCCAAATATGGTCAGATTTTTCCAGTAGAGACAATACTAATAAGGGGAAGGGGACAACATTTATTGAAAACCAGCAAGTGCCCTCTGCTGTGCACAACCTTCTGCAGTGCTTTATTAAAAACCACTTTTCTTTTCTTAATACATTTACTGCATCTAAAGCTCAAGTATGTTCTTGAATAGTGACTAGATTTTGTGGTTTGCTGAGTCGGCCACAACTGAACCAGCTGTAAACACAGTTTGCAATTTTTTTTCTTATTTTCTTCCTAGCCTGAAAATCTATTGTACTATAGTCAAGATGAGGAGTCCAAAATAATGATTAGTGACTTTGGATTGTCAAAGATGGAGGGCAAAGGAGATGTGATGTCCACAGCCTGTGGGACCCCCGGCTACGTTGGTAAGGACTGTGTGTGTGTGTATGTGTGTCGTGTCCCCACATGTCAACTGCATCTGTCTTCTTAGCATCTGAGCCTGGCGCCTGGTCACAGCTGCCTTCATTTCACTCGAGGGAAGAATGAAAAGATTGAGAGACACTGGGACGAGTCAGAAGGGAGGTTTCCCTCGAAGCCTTTAAGGGCTGGGCAGAAATCCTGCTGGATGTGTGTGTGGGCCTGACTTCAGGCCGGGAGTTGGTTTGGGTGAATTGCCAGGCTCTAATACCAGAAACATTGCATATATGTGTGTTTTCCAATGGTTTACAGTGAGACACTGAGCTAACAATAAGGTGCAAACACAGATAAAACATTTTAAATGTTGAGATAGAGGCAGCTGGAAAGAAAACCTTGGTGGAAGGACTGGTTCAAACCTTGACAAAGTCACTCTCTTGAATTAGCGAATCCTGATCTGTACCGGAGAAGCCAAGAATGAGAGTTTTCCCTAAAATCAGAAACCTGTGTCCTTTTGTACTAAACATAGAGAATGCAAAGAAGGCTGCTGACATGTGAACACGTGGACGCTGAGATTCATCTTCTGTCTTCTGGGGCCTGGAGAAAGGCTGTCGGAACTCTCTGCAGAGTGTTTAGGACTTTCACTTACACAAATACATCCATTCAGCAAATGTATATTAAAGTGCCTGCTATGCACTAGATGCTGTTCTAGGCACTTGAGGCAGAAGCAGTGAATGAGATGGGCAGGGTGCCTGCCTGGTGGAGCTTACAATTTTAGTTGAGAGTGACAGTCTGTAAACAAGGAAATAAATGAATGAACAGAGTTTTTCAGGTAACTGCTACAAATAAACAAAAAATGGGGGCATGTGATAGAGTAACAGAGGCACAGAAGGACCGGGACTGGGTTAAGGGGACAGGGAGAAGACTTGGGCAGTCAGCCATGGGAACTTAGGGGAGAGAATGTTCCAGGTAGAAGCGTCAGTGTGCGCAAAAGCCCTAGTGGGAAAAAGCCTGGGGAGAGGGTGCAGGCTACAGATGTCTGAGAACAGGGTTAAGATTGAGATTGAGAAAGACATTTAGAGAATGGACACCAAGGCTGAATTCTCATCGTGCAAACCATGATGGCCTTTCTTAATAAGAACAGGAAGCCTGCCTTGGAGGAGAGTGGGGAATGCCCCATGAGCCACATCGTTCCTCTCAGTCTCTGGGTACAGTCAGGCCGCCTTCTGGGTAGGCTGAGAGCAGGCCGAGAGCAGGCCTCACAGTAAATGGGCCTGGGTCCCAGAGCATTGTGGGACACTCCAGGTGACTCAGAAGGCACTTCACAGCTTTTCAAGTGTTTGCAAAATAATGGATGTTATGTCACAGCTGTTTCATTTAAGGAACTCAAAGGAGAGGAGAAAAAAGCAGACTGGGGAACAGAGAATAACATGAGAGAAAAGAATGTTTAGAAGGAAGAGATACAGATGGTGGATGTGTGGCAGGGGACGAGAAGGTGTGCTCTGTGCTGCTCAGCTCTTGACTGTCACGGGTGGGGATTGTGTCCCTGGGTTGTGTGCACGCACTAGACAGAGAAGGAGAGATCATTCTCATCGTGTTTAAGAAGCCAGCACGGCCTTGATGGAGGTAATGGCGCAGAGAGCCATCTCTTTTCTAGGAGAATAAAGTGATGGTTGCAGGGATAGGCTGGACCCTGTCAGAGACACTTGGAATCAGGGCTGTGACACGTGTGTACATGCATGTGTATGCCTGGGGGTGGAGGTGGGTGGAAGTGTGAGCATGTGAGGGATGTGTGGAATTTCTCCAGCTCAGTCTGAGCCATCAGGCAAGTGGCAAATAAAAACAAAGGGATGAGCTCATACTCCTTTCTCTTAAAAGATGGGGAGGGTGAAAGCCTGTTCCAACCACAGACATTAGACAGTGAGGATGCCTGTGAGGTCGTGGTGCCCTGCCAGGGTGGCTCTGCCTCGTCAGCAGTCCGGTGCCCAGGCCGCTCTGGACGAAGGAGCCTTGTGTGCGGGGCATGGGGAGGTGGCTGCCAGCACTCCCCTTCCCAGGGAGTCGGCGCTCGCACTGTGATGGAACGCTCTGACGAAGAATGTCCATGCGTGTGTAAGCTCCACACTCTTCTCATACTTGGCTCTCATGTTGGAAAACTCTAGCACTTTCTAAATGAATTTTTGCTTCTTTGAGTCTTGGCAGAGCCCATGGAATGGCAGTTTCTCTGGGTTTCTAAGTGGCTGCCGCCCGAGGGGGTCTGGTTCTCTTTATACATAGGACACTGGTGAGTCTGAGAACTGGGAACGATGCTTAGACATGGCCCTTGCTCTTTCTGCCCTAAATGGCTGCAGGTGGAGCCCTTGGGTGATTCTGCCATCGGATGCTGAGTTTCCTGTGAGTGTGGAAGGGGAAAGGAGGACTCTGGGAAGATAGCACTTCCATTCACGCTTCTTGAGCTCCGAGACTCCTGAAAGACTTTTCAGAACAAGGAAGGGGCCCTCTGGGGGAGCTCTACGAGACATACCCTGGGCACTGGGCTGAATTTCTCCCCCACGGGCTGCATGACAAACTCCTACTCAGCCATCAGAGCCCCGTTTACATGTCACCCCTGCTTTGATGGCTCTCCCAACACCCACCCTCTCCTTCGTCATCCTGGTTCTCCGCCTTGAGCCTTTCCTCATCTCCGCTCTGAGCACGTTGCAGCGGGGGCCATGTTTATCTGTGTCTCTCCCCCGCTGCGCTGGTGGGTTCCTCTAGAGCACTGTCTTACTCATCTTTGCACAGATGCCTGTAGATTGAGTAAAAACCCAAGGGTCATGAAAATGGGTGACTTTTTTCTTGTCTCCCCTTCCATTTGTTCAGCCTGTATTTATTGAATTTCTGTCATGTGCCACGTGCACAGTGGTTTGGTGTTAGAAATATAAATATGCGTAAGGAAGAGTCACTGACCTCAGAGTGTTCACAGTATTACCGTGAGACACAGAGGGCAAGTGGGGACACTGAATAATGTGTAGTCAGTGCTACATTACTCATCCATTCAAGAATTATTTATTTTGTGCCTACCGTCTGTTCTAGGTACTGTAGATGTATCTGTAGAAAAAAAAAACAAAAACAATAGATGAAAGTCCCACCTATAATAAGGGAGACATAATACACAAACAGCTGTGTTTGTTAATTAATATCATAGATGGTGATAAGTGCTCTGGAGAAAAATGAAGCAGGAAAGAGAAAATCACATGTGAGTGTATGTGGCAGGGGTTACGGTTTTCAATACGATGATCAGGGCAGCCCTCGCGCAGAAGGGGTGGCAGTGGGGTAAGGATGTAACAGAACTGGAAGAGCTGGCCGTGTTGTTATTTGGAGGAAGAGCTTTCTGAGGATTGTGCAAAGGCCCTGAGGCAGGAGTGAGTGAGCTGAGCAAAGTAGAGGAGCGGCAGATAAAGTCAGAGCAGTAATAGGCAGAGCATGTGCAGACCAGGACTACAAGTCATTGTCAAGGCTGTGGCTTTCACTCAGGGTGGCAGGAAGCCATCGGCGTGTTCCGAGATAAGGCCCAGTGCAATGTGACCTTAACCAGCATCCCTTTAGGGAACAGGCTGGGCCAGGCTGGCAGAGCGGAAGTGGGGAGAAGCTGTCAATTTCCAGATAGCATTTGAAGGTAGTGTCATCAATATTTTTCCGGAAAATTGAAAGACAAAGCGAGGATAATTCCAAATGCTTTTGGCCTGAGCACCTTTAATCGAGAAGCCCGTGGGAGGAGCAAGTTGCAGAAATATTACCAGGGGTCTGGTTTCGATTTGTTAAAGTTCGCAAGGTCAAGGAGGCGCTGGAATATGAGTGTGAAGTTCTGGAGAAAGATCCAGTCTGGAACTATACTGTTCTCGTTATATATGGTAGTTATGTTCTATAAAGTCTCAGTGAACACTGAGTTCGTGACCACTGAGCCACTGCTCCCAGAGGACATGCAGGGTTAAGTTCTGTGGGCCTCCGGCCCCAGCATTCTCAACAACTGATAGATAACATAAGTTTGTTTTATGTGTGTTTCTCTTCAGTGACACCTTATTTAATATTATTGTTGATTCGTTAACATTGCACTCAGGCCCAACAGTGCTACAACTTATGCCTGAGCGAAGCTTGTCAAGCACACATATGTTCCCCATACACACATCCCGGCCTCCTGTGCTCAGGAACTCTACACAGCACCTCAGCGCCACGCTCTGAACAGTGGCATCACCAAAACACACCACAATGTGAAAAACGTGGCACTGACTAGACCATGAAAACAATACTTGTTTACCGTGGAGAGACAAAACAAGAGGGCAGAGCGTTGCCTTGTTTGACCTAGCCTGGAATGAGCACCTCAGGGGCCTCGAAGTTCAGGGGCTCAGAGTTCATTTGCTCACGTCCAAGAGGGAGGATGCACTGCATGTGAGCACTGATAGCCTCTGGGTGCATTTCAAAGCCTGGGACCTGGATGAGAATCCTGCCCAGGTGGGTGGAGGTAGAGGAGGAGAAAGCCCCCAGGGCTAAGTCTCGGGGACTCAAGGGGACGAGGAGGCAGCAGCAGGTGATGTAGGAAGAGAACCCAGGGGAGTGCGCTGTCGGGAAAGTGCTTCAAGAAAGATGAGGTACCATTTGTCAGTTGTTGCAATAAGTCAAGTAAAATGAAGGCTGAGTGAGTGTTGGCCATAGGTTTGGGAGACCTTGGAGTATGACTTAATTAATTAAGCCTGTGGGAGCCTGGCCGTCAGAATAATGCTGGAAGAAGGTGAAATAGGTCTTTGTAAGAGGACTCCAGCATGCTGTCAACCCTGGGGACGGACGCAGCCAGCTCCACCTGCCCCTGCAGTAGCTACAAGGTCGGAACACTGTTTGGGATCTCAGACGAAGAAGCCAGAACTGCCGGGCGGTTCTCTGTCTGAACAGGGCAGAGCCCAGCCGATTGGGCATCTGGGAGAGAGAAGGGAGAGAGTGCGCTCTCCCCTCCCCCACTCCGCCGCCCCCCCCCGGG